GCACGTGACGCACGGCGGCGCAGGCGACGCTGGGACGCTTGCGCTGGCTTTTTTCTTTGGCGGTTTTTTGAAAACTGTTGTCAGGACGTGAACAGGGGACTACTACATAGTGCTTCCATCCGGACGAGACAAAGGGCATAATTAGGATCGAACTTCACTGGTAAGTTCGTTCAATCTAACAATTATTTCCGATGTATTTTTTTTCAAAAATGTAACGCGGTAACCAAATTTAGACTGAGGATTTGTGCTCAGCGGACAAAAATACATCGGAAATGACTATTCACATTCGTACAACAACGAAAAAGTTAAATTTTGTCGTTCCGTGTCATTCATCGGCACAACGTGTATTTCTGCTAAAGAAAAGAGGAAAGCATGATACATGGATATTAGAGCGAGCGAGACACTTATAGAGACAGCGCGGTGTCTCTATAGCTGTCTCGCTCATATTCTCTGCATTCAAGTGTTGAGTGAGTGAGATAGCTATTGAGGCACCACTAACAACTGGTAACGTCTGCTGATGTTTTCTTTCTCGATAGGACGACGTACGATAATAGGATGCAATATCAGAATATCTCCCACCACTTCTCCTACGTTTCTTCTTCGCTTCTCTCGCGTTGTACGTAAGACATACATTCGTGGTCTAAAAGGTTTGTGCACCGATTTTTTTGTAAATTTCGGAACGCGTCCCAACTTCAAAAGAGAGACAACCACTGCATATACGGTATATGCCATACTTCTGCTCTCGTAATAAGTGGCGGCGCTAGCGTGTCAAGCAACGGTTGTCTCTCTTTTGAAGTTGGGACGCGTTCCGAAATCTACGAAAAATCGGTGCACAACCTTTTAGACCACGAGTGTACAGCCCTCCATATATGCCTGTTGTCGTTTTCGAATGTTTGACAGGCGTATACGGGCCCGCCGAGGGACACCATACCTGCCTCTGAGTATACGTGGTAGTATTCATTCGCACGGTGAGGTCGAATTTGAGAAAAGACGTGTGTCGTCCAGAGATGTGAAGAAATTTAACCATTATGCAATCATGCGGTTTGTAATTAGCAATCAAAACAACCAATGGAAATAGTGCAGAGCAACATTTCGGAAAGAAAAAACCGACAAAGCAAGAAAAAATAATGCGAAAAGAAAGATAACATAACAAAGAAAAGCAATCATAAAACTAATCGTAACAGAAGAATGCTGCCCTGCCGTTCCGAAACTATTTACAATTGAAATTAAAAATTTATTTTTTCATTTTCAATAACATTTTTGTCCGTGAGGATGCGGCCGCCTTCGCGCCGTTCATTAATTAAATTTTACTCTCGCTAAGATGTTACATACTAAAAATGTCTTAAACTTAGTGATTTTAAGACTTTGCGTTAAAAATGACCATAGAAGGAGAAGGGCGTACTAGGTGGCGGCAAGACACTGTGCATTCCGGATCTGCGTTGAATGTATAAAAAATATATTTATGCTTTAAATGCTTTATTTTAATAATCAAATGTTGACTCTTAAATCCCGGATACCAACTAATGAATACATAAAGAGAAAAAGTACAATCTATCGTATGCGTTGTATTTCGAATGTACATAGAATAATTTAAAAGACTTAATTATTACAGATTTTTATGTGAATGCAATATTAAACAATAAGCAATAAATCTTAAGTCATAATAAAATTGACCAATCATAGTCGACTATTGCTTATTGTAGAAAGCCTCTAAAGCGTGGTCTACAATGAGAACTTAAGCCATAAAATTTAAGCTTTAAGCTCTAAGCCGTAAGAAATTGACCAGTTACAGTCAATTATTTTTCTTACACAGGGTGCGGCGCCAAAATCCGGACAAAATTCAATTTGAAATTCTCGCCGTTCTGTACCACTGGTAGATGTCGCGATTAGCGTTCAAATAGCTTGACGCATGTACTAAACCATCATAACTTCGAAATAGTCGCAATGTTGAAACCAAATGCGGAGTATAACTGAAGAGCCGCGATTATCGAAAGTGTTCGCGCTGGGCGCTCGGCGCCAGAAATCATTCGGTTCTTCAGATACCCGAGATCGACTGTGTATGATGTTATCGCAAAGTACAATAAGTCGGAGAAGTCCAACGAAGGTTTTGCAACATCATCCAGTGAGGGTGATGTCATGCCACCGCATTTCTTTAACAAAGGGGAAAATGTCACCAAAGTTTATTTGCGTGTTCTGACAAATGTAGTGAAGCCGTGGATGGAAACTGTGTCGTCTTGAAAGCGTATGTTTTTCAGCAGGACGGTGCGCCCGCCCACACAAGTCATTTGGTGCAAAATTGGTTGTCGGATAACGTCGACATATTTTGGTCGAAAGAATTCTGGCCTCCCAACAGCCCAGATTTGAATCCTTTAGACTTCTATGTATGGAGCGTAGTTGAAAGGGTCACGAATAAGTCCAGACATCCAAACGTCGCATCATTGAGAGCCGCTATTGAAGCGGCATTCACCGATATGGACCGTGACACATTAAAGCGCGCCTGCGCACGCTTTAGATCGAGAATGGAGGCGGTTATTCAAGCAAGCGGGGAATATATTGAGTAAATGTGTTCTTTTTTGGCCTTACAAACAATGTGGTTAAAAAATTTTTATAAACCTTTTCGTTTTTGCAATAAAAAATATGTTTGGAAAAAATATATAATTTATCCGGATTTTGGCGCCGCACCCTGACTATGATTGGTCAACTTCTTACGGTTTAGAACTTAAAGCTTAAATTTTATGGCTTAAGTTCTCATTGTAGATCACGCTTAAGGGGCGCCGCACACGAATTGACATAACAGTAACGTACCGTAAGAATTGACCAATCACTTTGAGTATCGTCGAACCGTAAGGTCGCCATTTTTATGAATACTCGATTAATTGGTCTATTTTTACGGTACGTCTTAGGTTACTTTTATGTCAATTCGTGTGTGGCGCCCCTAAAGCCCATTCTACATTAGTCGCAATCGCAAGATCGTAAGGAAATTGACCAATTATAATTGATTGTTCTTCGATCGCAAGAAGAACAATCGACTATAAATAGTCAATTTCTTTGCGACCTTGCGATTTGCAACTAATGTAGAATGGGCTTTATGTCGTTATGCAAGAACGTGTGCTTCCCGCTTAAATATCTTATATTTTGTCTTTATATATGTATAATTTATGTACTCGCGAGAAACAGAGACATACACATTAGTGTTAGTGTTATAGAAGAATGGATCTTTTAAATTTTTTAAATTTGTTAAAAAAGTTTTAACAAGTAACAATAGAAATCTGTACAATTGACATGTGTAAGAAAGATATATATATATATATATATATATATATCGATATATAATATATATATAGCGAGTCTATGTCTCGTAGCTATGGGCGGAGGGATGCAGCGAGATACGATTCGCGAGTGTCACGGTCGCACGTCGGTCGAAGGCATCTTTCTTTCCGCTGCCGCTTTCTGTACGCTGATTTGTTGAGACAAAATAATTAATTTCTCAAAAACTATTGCGAATATCGCAAAACGGCACAGGACTTTCTTGCTCACCTCAATCCGTTCTACGTTCTCACCAAGGGTCATCATGGGACTTCGGGACACCCTGTATATATA